AAACACCACTGCCTAGTTGAGTATTGTTGTTGATCATGTCCACAGTGTGGCTGCTTCAAGCAGGATCTCAAACCATTAAAATACTCTGGAAATGCTACAAACTCTCATCTCACGCATAACCATCCTGAGATAAGGTAACAAACTTGCATTAAATTGGCTCAACCAAAGAACCATCCAACACGGGACAACTTATCTTGACAAAGCTACCACAAGCTAATGGTTCAGTCACATTTTCAATATGAATGAAATAAGATAACTCTGTTATTGGACAAAATAGGAAATAATTTGCAGTTGACAACATTGTACTGTGAGGGAAGGACAGTACTGTTACAATATCATATTTGCAGGGTGTGTGGCGTTTCCCACATCGAGTACCAAACGTCAGCTCAATTATTTACTTACTTCTGGTTTTCGTCGGTCAGTTTCTTTATCACTTGGCCGAGCGTGAACAAGCTGCGGTTTATATTACAGCCTTCTTTGAAACGTGTACCTAGGACACAGAACATAAAGCAGAAAACTGGATTGCTGAAAAATGTGTAGACTGCAGCATACACTTGCAAGGTTACCCCAAAATGATATCCAACCATATTCAACAAACAAAAAATGCTGGATTTAAATCCACATTACCTTCAGCTCCAGTTTGACTTGCTCTCTCAGATCCGGCCAGATCCACTAAATTCTGCAAGATGAAGCAAAACCGTTAGCTACCAAACAAAGGAAAGAAGACAAACCAGGCCAACAATGAAAGAGGTAGCCTACCAAATGAGACACAATGATGGCTCCATCACTACTTTCACCTGATGCTGGGTCGCTCCTTTCCCGGCTCTCCAGGATCTAAGAAAAAGTCCATTGTGAGAAATGCATTTCCAAAGACTCCCACATGACTGTAGCTATATGCTTCTTACCATCCGGAAAATAGTGTGCGATCGGCTGCTCCGCTGGTTCATTTTTGTCTTGCCATAATGTCGGTTCTCTGGAGAGGGACGGTACAGAAAATGTATTGCTTGTTATGGCCTGTACTAAGAAAAAAAAAAAACTCTTGGAATTCATTGCATGTCTTACTTTCTCCTTTCCGAATCCATGCTAGGACTTGTGCAGGAGATGTAACCAACTCTTCAGTCAAATCAGCCACATAGATGTTTTTCTGCAAACAGTAATCATTAACATACAAAGCTCATGTAAAACAGCACACTACACTTCATAGCATTACAGCACTCCTAGAGTCTGAGACACGTCACTGCTAGCGATTTGGAATTAACACAGAAATGCTGAGAACCAAACCTCTAAGTAGCGTTCTGAATCTAGTCATCTAAATGATCAACCTACATTGATTTGTTCTCTGACTTCTAGAGGTTTTCTTTTCCAGCTGTCGACAAGCAGGTCCGTCACAGTCTCGTTGTAGATCTCCATGTAGGACACTCTGAGAAGGAACTCCTTCTTGGGAAACTTGGGTTGAAAGAGAAGTGACCCTTTAGGATGAAAAGAGACTGATACCAACCGCAGCAAATTTCAAACATGTGTCACCATTCTTACATTCTTAATGCTTTGAAAGACATCCTCCACAGCTTGAGGTATCACTCCGGGGGTGCGACTGGTCCCCATCATGGTGAAGGTCTTTCCAGAAGAAGTTTGCCCGTAAGCAAATATGGTTCCTGTACAGCAAACACAGAAAGTAAGAGAAGAAACCATGCCGCCCAACGAGGGATCAAACATCGTTTCCTGCACATACCATTGTATCCCTCGACAGTGGAAACAACCAGAGGCTTTGCAATGCCATTGTACAGCTGACTGGTCGTTTCATCAGCGGCAAACACTCGGTCTGTTAACAGAGAAAGGTTAGTGTTCGCATTCCCATTACTGTGAAGCAAAACCAAAATAAATCGCTGATTTTTTCTGTATGTTTGAATACAGACCAAAGCTGAAGCTCTTGGTGGAATTTCCATCATCAATCTGGTGAATTGATTTCTCGTCAGCTTTCCAGAAAATCTGGACAGGCTCCGCATTCTCGGATGCACTCTCTTCCCTGAACAAAGACACACATTCCACACACATAAGCACAAACAGTGAGATGCTTTCTTAACAACAGGTTACTATTGCTCTGCACTGACAAACCTGTTGTTGCTTTCAATCAGCAAGGCAAGCATTATCTTAAAGAAAATCAGGATCGCTTCATGTTGTAGTGGTCAACACATTTGTCTTACATCGACAGTTTGCGTCTGGGAGTAAACAAACCCAGCCTCAGGGGTCACAAGCTGATCTACTGCTAGTGTCAGTCTGGAGCCCAGGTAAGTGACAGGGCTGAGGCAAGAGGTGCATTGAGGGTTGTGCAGAACCCATTGCCAAGAGTATTTGCTGTCTTTTGTCTAAACTGTGCATCTGTCACATAACCAATGTTAGTCAAGTGTCATTTAACCACCTGTTGTCTACTTTTAAATCAGCAAAGGGAACAGGCTGGGAGCAAACAGGCATTTTTACAATGACGGAGAACTCTCACTTCACTGCGGATGATATGAAAACCACCCTGATCCTTCTGAGCATCCCAAAGTTGGCACTCCTTGAATCAGCTCACAGCCAGCTGTTCCAGTGTTGTGGCAAAAAAGCGATTGTGGGAATTAAACTATTTTAAAACACTTGTTGACCTATAATCTGTCAAAAATACATCAAACGTATTTAGAGTCAGACAAGATCAATCAATATTTGGAAAGTGTCTTTTACATATCTTTTATTTACCCGGGTAAAACATGTCACTGACATTAAAAATACGTTTTTCAAGAGAGATTTAATCTGGCCAAGAGGGCAGCAGAAATTGTAAGAAATATTACATCACATTTCTATAAGCATATTTTAGTGAGCAAAAAAAAGGCTTGATTATAATGTGGGTACAACGACGCCCAGTCATAGAGATGAAAAACAGCTCGTTTCTTTACTTTATATATAATCCATTGAGAAATCCTGTTCACTACAGTCTATTTTCTGATATGATGTAAAGATATTACACAAAACAACACACAGCAACATCGGAAATCACTTTTTAGCCCCGGTAACGCAGTCTGCTAGCTGCCTCGCACTCGTTTTCAGCTCAGAAACCTTTTTCCTTTTTTCGTGCTTGATAGTGGTAATAGTATGACATGTCTGTTCTGGTCGGGACACCGTGGAAACAAAGAACACTTTTTTTTCCTGGTTCTGTGAAACTTCATTAAAGAGACGCGACGTTTACTTGCCTTAACTGCTAACACTTTAGCGCCAGAGCCGACTCTGAGGTTGAAATAACTGACGAGCTCAAAATGCTACCGGGGCAATATCAACAGTTAACGGGAATTTTTAACGCGGCGACGGCGCCGCCGTCCAGGCTCACCTCGCAATAAGCGGACGGACTCGAACGCAGACTTTTACCGCTGACTCCTCTGTCATCTTCGCTCCTTCGGTCTATCTCCAAAAACAATACAAAATCCGAGCAGGAAGACCAACGCGCTTTTCTCAGTTTGAATTTTTGCTCCTGACGTTTGATTGGCCAACATCTCCGCGTGGACTGGACCATTTGTGTTTGTGAAACGAGGACGATAAATGATCGGCTTAGGTTTTGGTTAATGCTGTGCTTCTACAAATCCATCTTAACTGAGAGTTTGAGGTGATGTGATGGATCTGAATATGACACTCAATGAGACTAAAGTAGTCTAGGTTTAGAGACTGAACATAAAACCAACATTGACGTGCCCGACTGACGACAAACATGTGCGCCCGGCCTTGGTGGCGTCATCAAATTGCACCTTGTGCAGAACCACGCGAGAGAGTGGAGGTGTTTTGGGTTCGGTGTTTGTCACGTTTGGAAACCCTTGGATGGGAGATCTGATAAAGTTCGCGTTGTTCTGCTGCTAACATGTCTCTGTTTCTCGTGAATAGGTAGGTTTGCTTTGCCAGTTTCAGATCTTATATTTCATTTACAAAGTTTTTATCCGGATGTGTGCCACTTTACGGACATATCCAGATAGATGTGAACATTGTCACAGCCCACTTTATAACTCTGTCTCGCTTTGATGGAGTAAATAAAACTGGCCTGTGGAAGCTTTCGGTGTTCCAGATTTAACCGTTGTCGCCAAATAACTAGTGACGGTCAAACACATGTGTGGCAGACTTGCATTTAAGGAATGCAAGTCTGCCACACATGCATTTAAGCCAGCAAATAAACACTGAGTATTTCATCTGTGACATTTGTGAGGTTACCTGAAACACACTCCGTCAATCTTATTGCTCTTGAACAATAAAATATTAAAAACTGTCTCGAGTTTACCTGGTGATATTCCCATGCACGAGGCAGCCGCGTCTTGCACATAAACCTTTAAATTAAATTAAATGTTATTGCGTGTTTACTTTCAGTCTACATCTGTAAGAAGTGCCAAATGATATACACAAAGTTCCAGAAATCCCCACTCCTATTGTTCATGATGAGTTTAATGTTGTTTTCCATAACAAAGAAATACGTCTTGAACAAATATTACACATTAATATTAGACTAGTGTTGTAACATCACATCCCGTTAGCATAGTCTGCCTCTGTCGTTTCTCTGGAAATGAATTCAGTTTGAAAATCCTCTGTAATGATGACGTAGTGAGTTTGGATATCATATATGTTTAACTGTAGTCATCTGGGACAATCGTGTACTGTTTAAGGTAACCTCACAAACGTAATAGATGAAGTATTCAGTGCTTATTAGTCGGCTTGTTAGTATCGGCTCCTTAAAAGTCTACCAGTTAATCTGGAACACCGGTGTCCTGTCATATATCAGGTGTTCCAGTGCTGAATGGTCACATTAAGTACGCTGAGCTCAGACTGCTTTGAACCCGGACCCTATAACGTGATGCAGAGAGAAGATCTCCAGGATGCTGACCATATGAACAATGCAGGAAGATGACAGTAGCTGTTCTTTCTGTTGCTGCGTTCCTCTGTTTGCTGCATTTCTTTAGCTTTGCATAATGTTCTTGTTGGGGGGGGGGAGCTTTAATAACTTGAATGTTGCATGTTTCTAAACTGACCAAAAATTGTCAACCTGTGACTGTGGATGTGTGTTACTCTCAGGTATCTGGGAGAGGAGGAAGATGGGAGTGTGTCAAAAGAGACTCTGTCAAAGGCATTACTGGCTAAACTGCAGAAGAAGGCTAAAGAAAAGCAGAAACGCCATTCAGCTAAGCAGAGAGAACCCCTCCATGAACACCCAGCAGAGCAGGTGGATGCCCAAAAGAAAAGAAAGGCTGACGTAGATGGTGGACTAGAGCCTCAGCAGCACAAGAAGAGGCACTCAGAAACAGTAGCTTCATGCAGTGTGGAGCCTGTTGAACAGACAAATATACAACACCAGGAGGAGATCCAGTCAGGTGGTTCTTTTAATTATCAATGCTCACATGTGATGTAGGTATGAAGACATTGAGTTAATCTTTCATTCTGCCTGTCTAAGAGCCTTGGGGTATTATCAGCTTATCACACATTTGGTACATATGCTGTAAAATACACTATATTACCAAAAATATAAAGACAGACAAGGGACTGCTTTTGGCCATATGGTATATATCCTGCTTTTTATTTCCTGGTCAAAAATAACGTGTTGCTATGCTGTGCAACACGTGTTTGGAGCGCCACAAACGCGACAGCCGGCTGGTCGGAGCAGAGATGGGCAGTGTGCAGACAAGTAATCCACGACTTTTGACAATAGACTTTTTCTGTGACGATCAAGCCAGTAAAAAGTTGCGCAAGGATAAAAAGAACCTAGTTCATGCTGTAGTCTCTGCAGATGGTCGGTATGCTTACATCTAAATGTCTGGGTTGCAGATATTTCGCCTGAATCTACCACAGACACTCTGCCTGGGTTCACACTCGTAGGAGGATTTGAGAGCAAACCTGTCCCAAAGGTAAAGAGAAGCACGATTACTCGCAGCGCCACAGGGCTTTTTACTTACCCTCACACTGCATTCGTTTCACAGGTCGACAGAGTTCTGCCCCAGTGGCTTGCTGAGCCTCACGTCATTCACACAGACATTAAAAACAACCTAATCTCCATCTCTGATGTCCCAGGGCTATGTGCTCAGCTCCTGAAAAACCTGCATAGTAATGGAATCCAGCACTTCTTTCCAGGTGAGGCTAGTAAATGTGTTAGAGCACAGCCTTTGATTCAAATGGAGCCGTGCCAAGGAGGCTCTTTGTACAGTAGTTTGCAGTATTACTGAAAATTGTCTTGACTTCCACAGGTCTCCACAACCATGTGTCAGCTCTCACTCATACACACACTTAACCTGAGACTAAATGTTCCTCCACAGTGCAGGCAGAGGTGATCCCAGCCATCCTGGAGAGCGCCCAGCAGGGCCTGCTGATTGGGCGAGGGGGCTATAAGCCCAGAGACATCTGTGTGTCTGCACCAACAGGCAGCGGCAAGACTCTGTCATTTGTCATCCCCATCATACAGGTGAGAGCCATGTCTTTGCTGCACCTGTAGCTCAGGTGGTAGAAGAGGTTACTTACTAACCGGTGGTTAGTTGGTGGTGGTTTGATCCCAGTCTGCTCCAGTCTGTATCCTTGGAAACCCACCCCATCGATGCATCCGTCAGAGTATGAATGTGTCTGAATGTTAGATTGGAAACACTTAGAAACAGCACTTGGGTGAATGTACAAGTTGTGTAAATAAGAACCGGTCCATTTACCATTTACTTTGTCTGCCGCCTGTTTGGAGTACACAGACAGTGAGGGTGTTTTCTGTGATCAGGTGCTGATGGACAGGGTGGTGTGTGAAGTCCGGGCTCTAGCCGTGTTGCCGACCAAAGAGCTCGCCCAGCAGGTGAGACCCTTTTCAAGCTGTTTGCGTCCCAGCAGTGCTCCACAGAGCCCGAAACTCAGCTCACATTGTCTCCTGTGCAGGTTCACAGGGTGTTTGCATCGTATGCCGAGGGAACCACGCTCAAAGTGGTGATGCTGGCAGGTCAGAAGTCCTTTGCTGCAGAACAGGCATCACTGTCAGAACACAGGTGAGAAATCGAGCTGGCTCTAATAAAGCTTCACAGAAACGCAGCGGCACATCTCCTGTCAGAGTCCTCGGTGCACATGTGCAGTGGGGAAAAGGCTGAGCTCAGCATCTATGTCATGTCCGTGCAGGTGGAACATGAGGCGTAGTCTAGCAGACATTGTTGTGGCCACTCCAGGACGACTCATTGACCACATGACCAAGAATTCAGGCTTATGTTTGGAACATCTGCGGTTTCTGGTGAGTGCTGTTGAAATCTGTCGAGCTGCAGTAGTGAGTTCACTCGTCAGTGTGTGTCACACAGTGTGTGTCTGCTACTTGCTCAGGTGATCGATGAGGCGGACAGGATGATCGATAGCATGCACCAGTCCTGGCTTAGTCAGGTGATGGGAGCAGTGTACCGATCCAGAGCTGAACCCGGGTCAGTGTTCAGAAGGACAGAAGCAGCGTGCATCACATCAGCCAGGTGTGTGTGTGTTATCTACTGTGGGGTGATTGAGATGATGTCAGTCTCATTCTTGGCCACAGACTCAGGCCAGCAGAAGAAAAGCTTAAAGGTTACAGTTAAGTACTAAAAAGACAGCTGGGAATGTTTTCATAGTGTTATGTTAATGTTTTTGTGGGATTTTAAGGTCTCTTGTGTTGATACAGTTTGTCAAAATGAGAAAATAACTGAAAAGAATGATGCAGAAGTTTTTAAATAAAAAAGAGTCAGTGTGCTCACCAGACACGGTGGTGTTAACCATAACAGAAAAACTCCAATTCTGCAGCCAGGACTTAGGTTCCAGGTCGGTGCTCAGCTGACCGCCTTGTCCTTGTAGTCTGTCTCCACCTCAGACGCCACTGCAGAAGCTGCTGTTCTCCGCCACGCTCACACAGAACCCAGAGAAACTGCAGCAGCTGGGCCTTCACCAGCCCCGACTCTTCAGCTCCACCTACGGCCACGCCGACAGCGCTGCAGCCTCGCCAACCCATGGGCATGACCGCTTCAACTTCCCCCAGGGTTTGACGGTGAGGGCTGCCTTTTTGACCTTTAGCAGGGAGTGGAACTAAACCAGAATTTGATTTGTACAGACTGATGTGGCTTTGTGTTTTAGGAGTACTATGTTCCCTGCACCATGAGCAGTAAGCCACTCCTACTCCTCCACTTCATCCTGCGCATGAAGCTCCACCCAGTCCTCTGTTTCACCAATTCCAGAGAGACTGCGCACAGGTAGGAGAGCTCCTGAAATCACATGACTGAAGGCTTCTTGTGCTGATTCCACCTCCCTCCTCCTCAGGCTTCACCTGCTGCTGCAGCTCTTTGGTGGAGTCCAGGCTGCCGAGTTCTCCTCTCAACTCTCCCCAGGTGACAGGAAGAAGACCCTGAAGGAGTTTGAACAGGGAAAGATCCAACTGTAAGTCTGTGTCTGTGTGTGTGAGCTTGTATTCATATCTTTGTGGGGACCAAAATGCAGGTCCTAAAAAGTTTGGCCCTCAAAGGCATCTTTCAGACTCAAAATGTGGTTTTAAGTGTGCCAGTGGGCAG